TTATACCCTACATTATTTCCTTATGGAATTGGGGGTTTTCATTTGTCTCGAACCACACCGTTAAGTTTAGAGAAAATGGTTAAACACCTCTTTTCGTTATCAGATCGCAGATTTCAAGAACACTACTCCTTTCTCTTCTTGGTTTTCAACATCATTCAACGCCAAAAAACATCACTTCACAGCAAACTCAAAACAATGCACCAAAATTTTGATCGCGTGGCACACAGCATCTCTCAGATTTCTACCCAGAGCTTCGAAGCAACACTGGCTCGATTAGCAAATGGCAGGCTTTTCACCCCACAGAATGAAGATGAGAAAGCAATTTTTCATTTGATGAAAGATGTGTCACTAATTACATCCAAAGTCCCCGGCTCCCAAAGCGCTCGCTCACAGATGCGGAAAGAAATTCGTGCTCTAATTTTTCATCGTGGGCCTCTGAGTTTTTTTGTGACAATTAACCCAGCTGATGTCTACAATCCTTTAGTCAAATTTTTGTCCGGAGCAGAGATCAATCTGGATGCATTGTTGCCGGATCAAGTGCCATCTTACTGGCAACAAGCAAGTGCTGTGGCACGCAATCCCTTCTTGGCAGCCTGGTTCTTCAAACTGGTGATTGACGCTTTTGTTTCCGCAATTTTGGGTCACACCAGAGTGGATGAGATTAATGCTGATGGCATACTCGGGCCTTGCAGTGCATATTATGGAACAGTAGAAGCTCAAGGGAGAGGTACATTACACTGCCACATGCTCATATGGATTGAAGGTGCTCTCAATCCTCAGGAGATAAAAGACCGGGTGCTCAAGAGCCATGATTACACTTGGCGTGATAAACTACTGGATTTCCTTGATGATACAATTTCCAATGGGCTCCCTCAAGATCATACTGATGTGAGTTGTGTATCTGATCAATTTCATCCGTGCAGTGTTCGATGCCATCCAGATACTTACACTCCATTGGAATGTGAACAAGATTTGTTCAATTTGGTTAAAGCGTGCCAGATGCATAAACATACTGCGACATGCTACAAATATGGAGACACTGATTGCCGCTTCAACCTCGCTCCAGATAACACATGCACCTCAAGCCACATGGACACAGACAGTGGTGAGCTCCATTTAAGGATTTCTGACGGAATGATTAACGACTACTGTGAGACAATGATTAAAGCAGTCCGATGCAACATGGATATCAAATTCATTGGGTCTGGCGCATCTGCCAAAGCGATTTTGTACTACATCACGGATTACATCACCAAGTCACCTCTCAAGACTCACATTGCATATGTGGCACTGCAAGCAGCAGTTTCCAAGTTGCAGAGCGCCACTCCAACACCCACATCTTCAAGCCCAGAGCATGCTAAAAGCACGTTAATCAAATGTGCTAATGCCCTGATTGCAAAGCAAGAGTTATCCGCTCCCCAAGTTGCATCCTATCTACTTGGCTATGATGATTATTTTTCCAGCCACAAGTTTCGATCTTTATTTTGGACTCCTTTTGTAACTTACGTGGCAGAGGTTATTCCACAGTCTGATACCTCGTCTATTGGTGAGAGTTCCTCTACTACTGATCATGGCTGCATTTTAACATCCAACCGTTCATCTGGGCACATCCATCACCTTCCTTCTCTGCTAATGGACTACCTTGCCCGAGACCACTCTGTTTGTTTCGCCCAAATGAATGTTTGGGACTTCGTGTCTTGGGTTGACAAAGTGCGCATTTCAGGTTCTTCAGGGACAGACAAAATGGATCCTGGTGAAGATCAAGGTACTCAGGATCGGCCCCATTGCTCACCGTACTCATCCCTTAACGAAACTCATCCACAACATACCACCCACTTTCTCCGCAGGTGTCGACGGCAACTCATTCCAGTTCCAATTGGACCTAGCCTACCATGGCGGGACAATGATGCAAATGTTGAGTATTATTCAACTGTTATGCTCACATTATTCAAACCTTGGCATTCACCATTCGATCTCTTGGGTCATTCAGCTTCTTGGTCTGCAGCATTTGAAGAGTTTGTACAACACGCTTCAGACCGAGTTCTGGAATTAATGAAGAACATTCAGGTTCTGCACGAGTGCAAAGACAGTCGGGATTTAGACTATGCCAAACGTTCTTCCAAATTGCGTTCTACTGTGATTGCATCAAACCCGGGACTTTGCGTGGCTGACAACAACGAACTTATAGATGCCGACGAAGAGCAATCCATTCTACACCGTTTACTTGATATAGACGATCAAAGCAATAGCCAGCGGAATGGAGATGAAGTGGATGTCAATAATGCGGTACGTCATGCGCTGAACGCTGGGCTTTTTTTGGATGACACATCCGAAGAGTTCCTTTTAAACTCGGCCTCTTTAGAAACACTCAGCTCTGCCTCCTCCAGTACTGATGCCTTTGCAGAGTGCATAACGGATCATGGCACCTTAGAGTCAGTTTGGGCAAATGACTACAAATCTCGTAAGCATGCGGCAAAAGAGGCGTTGAAATTGTCTCTGCATGCTAGCACTATGCTGTCTCCAGTTGCGATGGATGCCATGTCTCATGCTGCCTTAATGAACAATGATTCTTACTTGAACAACGCTAATGGGGATTTCCATGCCGACATCACTGCTCATTCCCCCGAAATCCTTCCCATCGCTGTTGCTGAGATTATAGAATCAGTATCTTCTGAATTTTCTCTCAACTTAGAACAACGGCACGCATTCCTGCTGGTGGCTAATCATGCTGTACATCATATTGCGGTTCCTAAGCCCCTCTACATGTACATGGGTGGTGCTGGGGGAACGGGTAAAACTCAAGTGATTAAAGCATTGACAACCTTCTTTACCGCAATTGACCAATCATGTCGACTCCGTTTGTGTGCTTTCACAGGTGCAGCAGCTCAAAACATCAATGGGAACACTTTGCACTCTGCACTCAATTTGAACCAATTGTCAAGGATGTCGAAGTCGAATGGATCTCAAAGTCGATCGGAATTGGTGCAATTTTGGTGCGGAGTGGACTACCTATTCATCGACGAGGTGTCCATGATCGGTTGCGAGCTGTTGACTGAGATAAGTGCTGCTCTCTCGCTTGCCAAAGAAAATCCTGATGCTTTCGGGGGTAGTAATTTTTGCAGGGGACTTTTGTCAGCTACCACCAGTCGGCTACACTAGGTTGTACACTGCTTCGAAGTTGTTGGTGAGGAAGACAGCGGACTCAGCAACAGAACAAGGTCAAAAGAAACTGAAGGGATGCCTTTTATGGTCGCTGGTAGATACAGTCGTATTTTTAAAACAATCCACGCGCCAAGATGGTGAACATAACAGCGCATTCCATGATCTTTTGAGCCGACTGCGATTTGGCAACTGCTCGACTGCAGACAAAGCCCTTTTAGATACACGACTAATTCACAACTTCCGCGTTCAGGAGCTACAATCCAATGGGTGGCAGTCAGCTCCAATCGTCATGGCTTCAAATGCAGTCAAAGACGCGTTAAATTGGTACGCAGTCAGAACTTTCGCAGCCCACAGACAAATTCCACTCACAACATACCATGCTACCCATGAAATCAAGAATCAGCGTATTGGTCACACTGCCCTCAACGATCGCCTGTTGAACTTAACTTCGGATTCTCAGACTGCATACACCAGTGGTTGTTTACCCTTACTTCCACAGATGCCGGTATTGGTCTGTGAAAATTTCGACATCAGTGGTGGTATTGTGAATGGTAGTGATGTTAGAACGAGGCGGAAATGGACGACTCCGGAGTGGAATCGGAGACTTAGCGTGGAGGGACCTTGGCCTCAGCGACTCAAGCGGAGCGCTGTGCCATTGCTGTTTGTCCATTTGGTCCTTAATTTCACAGTAGGTGAGCAGGAAGTCTCTTGGGGGCATTTCAGGTCGATTTTGGACTGAAACCAGACGAGTATGTACAAGCGCCGATATATAAAGAAGGGGCAAAAGCACAAGGAGAACAAAGGGTGACCGAATCAGAACGAAGACGTCCGAACAGGAACAAAGGGTAGAGGGAGCGGAGCGGTACCGAAGGTCATAGGGCAAGACCTGTGATACGTCCGAAGGGAGGTAGAGGGGGCGCAGCCCAGAGGGGCAGGAGGATGAGGGGAAGTGGGGGTGATGACTAACTGACTAGAATAGAAGGAAGCAGTAGTCCAAATAGGGATGAGGGGGAATTGCGAGAAATACATTACAAAACGGCGAGAGTGCCGGAGGCGGTCCGCGAAGCTCAGGGGTTGCGGAGGTTACGGAGGTTACGGAGGCGGGGTTGGAAGTCCGAGGAATATTGGCAATGGTGTTTACGTAGTATGAGGTCACCAATGCAATGGACTAAGACCGAGGTGGAGTCAAAGTCCGAGGTAGGGACTATGACGGAGGCTCGGAGTAAGGTACGAACGGTGTCCGAGTACGAAGTACGGAACAGCGGTGGACGGTCGTAACTTGGCGGAAGGGTGGCGGATGAGTAACGGAGGGAGGAGAGAGGGAGTGGCAGGAAGGAGAGTAGTCAGGTCCGAAGGTGAGTATCGGAACGGACGGGGGAAGCGTAGGGGGATGACGGGAGGGTGGAGGTGTTGTGAGGGAGGAGCGGAGTTGTAGGAAGGGTGGCGAGTGGGGCGATGTTCGGTCCGAGATGAGTATCGGAGCGGACGGAGAAAGGGTCGGAGAGGTAAGAGGAGGGGTGTGTTGCCAAGACCGAAGGTGAGTATCGGAATGGCAGCGGTAGGTTATGACTCCGGAGGTGAAGAGGGTGGAGGTCCGGAAGTCAGGTCGGGGTCAGGTATGCACGGATATGACAAGTGAGGGCATTGTGCAAAGTGTCTGTTATACTGTGGATGAAGACGGCATGCGAACCGCTACAAGTTGTATAGTGAACATCGAAAACTCTTGTCCGGAGCCTTTCACTGATCTCGCCCCACACCAGTGTGTGATACTACCGAAATCAATCAACATCAAAGTTACCCACCCTTTTTCAGGCGAAACTGTTAGAGTCAAACGATCCCAGCTGCCATTGCTCCCCGCTTTTTGCATTACGGACTACAAATCTCAAGGGAAGACTCTACCCAAAGTTATCCTTGACTTGGAGAGCGCACGCTCCATCCAATCGGCTTATGTGATGCTTTCACGAGCTACAGGTTTCATAAATTTGCTAATCTTGCGGCCTTTCAACTCCAGATGGATCATTTCTCACATGAGTGGAGACTTGCGCAAAGAATTGAGCCGTTTACAAATGTTAGAGTGTGATACGATCTTGCGCACTTTTTCACAAGCATTTCGACATGCAGAAGCTGCGAATTGGAAATCAGAGTTGATGGGGGACAGCAGCCCAGCTTCAACAGGTGAGCAGCCTCATCTCCTCGTTCCTCTCAAACTTACCTTTCTGTGCAATCTAGGGAAAGTTTTCAGGCTGCCGGACTCTCCTGCAAGAGGGAATATGAAAAAATGTCGGAGAATTTGATTGAGAGTGGGTAGAAATGATCCTCACGGTTCCTTTGTGAAGCCTAGGTTAGTTCTCTACTTTGTTCCTGAAACTCAGCAGGACCTGCTGATTTCCTCCTGATCCAGGTGTGTTTGACTGCAGGTGAATCTACCCTGAGTTCGAAATCAAATGCAATGCCACCTCTTTGCATGTGCTTTCAAACAAGAAACCTGCTAATCCACTTCTACTTAAGATCGTGGCATTGTGATTCTGGTCGCTCATCTCCATCGTCATCAGCTTCAACTCTCCCCTCAACGTCTAACAAAAGCATGTTACTATTTGCTCTATGGATTCCGGAATCATCTCGCGCCTCCTTACTCATGCCCAATCTGAGAACTTTTGGGGTTCAATTAACGCAGAAACTGTGACTTATAAGAGCGCTGCCTCTGCAAATGGTCAATCCCTTCGTGGGTCCTGGGTATCTCTGTCCGACCGCAATGTGCTGGCAGAATTCAGCTTCTTCGGGGTGATCTCCAATGCCGAAGTGGGACCTTATGGTAATCAACATGCTGCTCCTTTTACCGCTTGGCGTGAACAAGGGGTTCATTTGTTCTCATGGATTTGGACTGTTTGTTTTGAATTCTTTTCCAGCATGCAAAAGTCAATGCGACAAAGTACCAGATTCATTTAAGTATCCCTCCTTCGGCACCACGTTCTATCAAAACATTGTTCACGAATCAAATTCAAGGATTAAATAAAATTAAGAATGCATCTGGGTTAGGACTGCATTGTGACGGTATCGGGTTTCATTTCATCATTTTTCACAGCACTGCTGACTGCTGTCAGGGACTGCGTGTCAGTTCACGACGAAGAGGGCGTTCCCAAGAATCCTAGTCATTGTTAACGCTGAGGTGCCATCCTCAGCGGAGATAAGGGTTATATACATGGGTACCGCTACCCACTAGAGTGCGGTTACAATGAGATAAGAGCTAACCGATAGAATGACGACATGAAAAGATAGCTATTCATTCGGATAATCGTAAGCGAGGTGTGGGAAAGGGGTGACATGTGGGCGGAAGATAGGAAGCGGGAGCTAAGCGAAAGCTAAGCGAGATTACCTGCGTTCTTCAGATCACTCCGGATCGTCTTACGGCAACTCCCTTCCGGCATAGGGAGTCAGGGTAGCTGGTTAGGCCGTGCCCTGACAACTGCCTAATAGAAGACACCGTTGAAATCAGAGAGAATGAGTTTGGGTGGGTTTACTTGGATGACGAAAATGGACCCTACTTTCGCATTGTGCACCCCATGTTTTTGGAGAGTCGCAATGGTCCAACAAAAGAGTCCAAGAAAGTAAGTGTGTCTGTGGCGTTGGAAAAAGGTGCGTACTGTGATACAAGTTTTGCCGTTGATGCGGGGGTTATTCTGAGGTTGGCGTGTTTTGCTTTAGATGAGGGCTTTGAGAGCTGCATGCCAGTTAAGGAACCGGTTCTCCCCTCCATGTTTTCTGAGCCGCAATGGGACCCCGAAGGGAATTTTCGCCGAGCTTTGCCGTCTCTGGCGACGCAGAGGGAGTTCAAGTACCAGGTGGACCTTCACGCCTTCGATGACAATGGACTGGACGTTCTGCATGATGGTTTGGATATGCTGTTCACTGAGGGTATGGTGGTCATCGGGACGGTGTCTCTGCATTTGTAAGTGTGATGCATTGCTGTGCTGAGTAAAGACTGGAGTCGTTTGATGCAGCACGCGTGCACGCAATACCACCAAAGGGGAAATACGCTCCTTCCAAATTCATTGGACAGCTGTTCATGTTGTTGGTCAGATCAAGGCGCTATCCATCGAGCCTTTGACTGTCGCTTCCTCCAGCAAAAAAAGGTCGGCAGACGGTGATCAACCTGGACCTGTCAAGAAGTGTGGTCCATTTTTCACACGTGGCTCTGCGCCCAGTGAATGTTCATCTCACACGATCTCAGAAAAAAGTAACGATGATGCATACGCTTCCTCTGGGATTGCGGAGAACTTGGTGGTGGAGGAAAAGATGGCATCAGAGAAGGAGGTGGTGGTTCAGGTTGAAAAGGGTAAAGGAAAAGAGGAGGACATCTTCATGTCAGTGCTTTCCGTTGCATTTATGATTGGTTTCTGATTAACTGCAGGAGATCTATTGGCATCTTTCCTGACACAACTTTGAATGATGAAGGAGTAAAAGAGAGTGCTTTGGATGATTAATAGTTTTCGAACTGGTTCTGTACGCAATGATGTTCGCCCCGCCTTGTGTATCGTTTCGGGAGATTCTGATTGTGTTGACATATATAACTTTGTATCCCGGAATTCAATAACATTGACATCATTGCAACTCTTGACCCCCCTTTGCGGCGTGCATCACTGTTCAGTTCAGCCAGTGTACTATCATTCTACTGGTTCACCCCTTCATGATGAAAGGTTTGGATCGAAAACTTAGCACACGCGCTCGCATCCCCTTCTCATACCAATATGCGAACTCATTATAGAGGGCTTCATTGCAAAAGAAAGCTGGCACAGCTACGTCTCTGCAGTTCTATAACCTCGGAGCCTTTGCAAATGGGTGTCATCTGACATCCAGGTTATAGGGTCGGTCATTGGTACCATGTTCCTGGCAGACAACCTTGCGTTACCCCTGAACGGCCGCGAAGCGTTCTGGTATTCTTACTAAAGGCAGCATTCAAGGTGAACTCATGTTCCCCCCCAGCCAAAAATGATGCGCATCTTTGAAGAACCTCAAGGCCGCGGGTGCTTGCACCACCACGGGCTCATTAGCACAACTCCGATTATCTGGCGCACCACATGCTGGTTCCATGTTGGTCATTACCTATGTATCTGGTTGCCCATTGAGTTGGCTGCACTCAGGTGAGTGGAACAGTACGTTCTGATACTCTGCTGGACCTAATGATTCACAGTGAGCACCTTTCAGTCGATGTGGGCAGTATGATGTTCGAAGAGTGCCAAGGATGCGGGCGATCTCATTACCACGTGTTTGCTCTCCCTCCCAGGCAAGGGGTGGTTTCCATCTTTTTTCTATATTCTAACTGTGCTTTGGAACTCTCAGTGATCAAGATACTGCCGAGCAATACCAACCATTGGTGTAACAACTGCTGTCGAAGGAGTCAAGGATTTGTGATTCGGTGATTGGTCTGTATGTAGCTGGTTCTAACATCGGTGGTGTCTGAATCGCTCCTGCAACTGAGCCAAATACATAATAGAGATAGTTGTTGGGCAGTCCGTTGTTGGGACCTTCGTCCTGCCATGCAAACACCACTGACAGTGATTTCTAAGATTGCTTGTAATGAGGTTTACTGTGTGCAAGAGATGTGTGTCCACTGGTGCTTGTTTGCTTCTCAGCGGGTTGAGTGGTGGGTTTTGCCACTTCAGGCAGCGCTCGTCAGTTATTTGTCATCATCTTCCCTTTTGGGTTGTTTGCTTTTCTTTACATGCTTTCTTTTATGTCATCTTGCCTGTCCTTCCACCATTTCCGCTCCCACTCGGCTCTTGTCCTTAAAGTCTCGGCTTACAGCCGTTTGCAGAAAAATCTGCCGTCTTGAATTTATTGGGTATGTGACCCTGGTCATTCATTTTCCTAAAAAAGTTGGAAGGATCAGGTTCAACGAAATAGGATTTCCTTATATGGATAAGCGACTTAGCGCTGGGGTCCAATCGCCCATGCAAGCAACAAGAGAGTGTACAATATTGACAACTGATGTCAACCCAGCGCTATTGCTTCTCCTACTCACAGCCTACCATTGACCACTGTTGGCACTTAGCGTTCTGTGATCGGGGGACCAAGAGTGTGTGAGGGGCGCATGGAAATCGGCTGGGTGTGCCAGGGAATGGGTGGTGGGACATCCGGACACGGAGGGGGAAGTGGCAAGCGTGTCGAAATTGGCGTTTGCATCGAAATTGGTGATTGCAGCGGCACTGGAGGGTGCTGAGGGGCTGGAAGGGGAGTTGGAGTGACCAAATGTGGTGAAACTGGCCACTTGGAGGATTTTGAGGTGGACCCGCACGATGATTGTTGGTTGGCATTGGGGTGTTCTCAGCTAAGTCTCTTTCGTCTGGCTTGGGGTTTTGTGATTGAGCGACTAGCTAACATTTCAAATGCGTCAAGAAGGCTGTTGCCTCATATCTGTTTGAGATGAGGCGCTCCCAGCCCATCCCAGCCGATTTTCCTCCCAAATCGCCCGCTCCAGCGCCATCAACCCCCCCAATTTCGTGTCAACCTCATGCAATCGTGTGTCCACTTGTGCAGACGCGACTGGTTCATGAACTGGTGCATTTTTGGGCCAAAATCGAAGTGGGGCATATACCCCAGTGCTGCTAGGGGAACTAATTGCTGATGGCAAAAGCGGGTGAGGCGGTAGATGGCTGCTCCTGTGGCCGAATCATAAGCCCTTTCCCTCTCAATCGTCTCCAGTGTTAGTTGCCTCCATTCCAATAATAAAACCAGTGTTGCACCAGGATATTTTGACATTGACTTCATAAACATCTATAATGGATGGTCCTCGCTTTTATTCTTCCGTTCCTCTTTTTTAATCCTCTCTTTGTACTCATCCAAATACATGTTGTATCGAGCGAAAGAGTGGTGGGTTCTGCCGTGTCAGGCAGCAATCACCAGTTATTTTTATAGCCTAAGTATATTCGCGAAACGAAATAGAAATAGATTCATGCTGGGACAGGTGAAAGGAAACATGTGCTGTGCAGAGTCAAGCGAAGTGCGAAGCGCAAGCACTCTAGTCATGTAGACGCCAGGGAACCACCTTGGTGCAATACCCATACTAGTCACTCTACTGGGCCATGCCGTGCGAGTTCAATGGAATTGCATTACGGCAGCATTGGGAAATTATGAGATGTGTGTTGTACCGGTTCCGTGCTGGGGACGCCGTTGAATCATGGAAATGAGTACAGTAATTGCCCTCGGTTATTTTTAGTCTTGTTTTGGACCGTGATAGCAAGTGAGATACTAAATATGCCTAGAGTCTGTCATTGATGACGTTGGAGCGTGGAGATTGCGTCACAAATCACATGGCTAATCGGTCGATCCAGTGCCTAGTCCAAGTTGTCTCGGCCTTTCTGGCTAGTCAATGACTCCAGAGACCAATTACTGTAACGCTAATTCCATCAGATAACATTTCATTTCCCCGATCGTTTCAGTATTCTGCGACGATGTCAAGGAATGAATCGCCCACCCCATTTGCACCACATGTACATAACGAAACCCTCAATCGCGAGACTACACTGTGCCCCCAGTACGTACCGCCACTGTCCCCTCATGCGCAATACAAAGGGGAGTGGCAGGATTTGCTAGCTGCCAGAAGCGGAAAGAACCGATCAGGTTGTCATTCCTTCAAAGCCGTTTTCTTTTGTAGATTACAGCGGCAAATAAATCAAAACTTTATATCCATCGGTCCAACTGAGTGCTCGTCTTCTTGTCCAAGCGAGTAGCCGCTATTGACAAGTTGGCAAAATCCATCCTGTGCACTTGCGCCATCCGTCCCAAGTGCTGATCTTCATCGCCAGGTCGCTTTCCACTCTGTTGACCAATCAAACTGGGGGCAGCTGCCGACAGCTTAGCACCAAAATCTGCATGTCGAGCGTTATGAGCATAACGGGGAATGGCGGGATTTGCCGCTTCTCGGGCATCCAGTTATGCACACAAGCGGAACGCGAAAGACCGCTCCAATGAGGTCAGGTCAGTCTATATGGATCCCCAACATATTGCGAGGGAATTTCTCGCGCGTCTTCCATGCCCCTCGGGTTGTGCCTTGCCGACGTTGAACCTCAACATTAAGCTGGTTATTATCCTGTGCTTTTTTGCCCCATATAGGAAACCCTTTCAAGGCCAGTTTCTCTTGCGGGTTATGTCGGATTACAGCGGAAAATGCGTCAAAATTTCAATGGGGTCCTGGTCGTCTCCTTGTCCAAGCCAGAAAAACCGCCGTTGGCAGGATGAACAAGTCGGCGAGATTCATGCTGTGGTGCTTGCGTTATCTGTCCGAAAGGCGTTGAATACTGGTATTGATCGTCAGTCCCCACAATCGCCGCTGCTTCCCACTGTGCTGGCCAATTAAACTTCCTTCTAGTGGATGCGGTTGCCGACAGTTCAACACCAAAATCCAAAGATCCTGCATATCGAGCGTCTTATCTTCGCGATCGCCGTGTGCCGCCTCACGCCTGTCCTTTGAACAATGGTTGATCGGTGACGCGCTTTAAAGCTGCTGTAAGCAGTTTGGAGGGCGCGCCGCCGTCATAACCGCACTCCATTGCCATCACATCCGGGTTGGCGGTCGACATTCAAGCGCGTGCGATATCCGGTATGCAGCTGCCGACACTCTACCCTCGATCAAGGTGTGAACTTGGTCTCTCATTAGCATCGAAGAATTTTGATACTCTTGGTGGGGTAGGGAGTGGGCGTTGGTCCAGCTGGCTCGACTACCTAACACTACCGGGGACGAGAGAGCACTGCCAGGGCTTACATTTACTGTGAGAATGCCCAGCGATGAAGAGGCGACGAAGCTTGGTTCTGTGAGCAAAGGTGTGCTTGGCAACAAAAACGGGGTTCTCGTTGAGATTTGCTTCCATCGCTCTTCCCGCAGTCTTTACCGTAACATCCTTTCGGACCCCACACAAGCGGAAGCGCTGGAACTGGAAAAATTCATTGCTTTAGAGTCCCCCATAATCTCTATATATACTCTCGGGGTCACAAGCGAGCTTGACTCGATTTGCTTCGCTTCCCACGCCTCAGATGCACTTTCAACTTTTAGCCTGCGAGATGTTCTCGATTATGTAGCTACCTGGAACAGGGCAATGGTCCAAAGCGATGCAAGTCGATCTGTATTTTGTGACTGGGCTGACTGATCCTTTCATTCAGGAGTTCGAAGATTCCTCGCTCACATCGAAGAATGTACGCCGCTTCCTATGCTATGAATTCCAACGCAGATCCCCGATGTATTGATCTGCTATGTGCCTCCCACAAATCCAGATTTCGAATATGCGTCTCGATCTCCTGCACAAAGTTAAGACAGCTCATCGCCTTTCGCACCGCTAGTTATTGCGCAGATGGTGACACTTTGTCCAGTGTAGCGAAACCAATCGACCGTAGACCGCACCCAATCCCGCAACTGGAAGGCAACTATGCCCTGAATTCTCCCCATTTGAAACTGCAACCACGCTTATGAATACCACTGATGCACTTGGTCCTCCAATTCTCTTTCCGTTCCTGAGTCATTTCGGCTGGTTATTCTTGCTTCGTAGGGGCTTCTGCTTACTACAAACTGCCCGAGCTCTGGGTCCCAAGGGGACTAGTATTCTGTCGTGTCCGTTGTCAGACGAAACCTATGTGCAGTTCAATCTAGAATAGTATTCACGCAAGAGCAAAAGATGTCATGGCACATAGGGGTAACAGACATACCGTCGGTATCCTGGTCGACCACTCTTCACATCGTCTTCTGGTATTTTTGACCGAGGCGGAGGCTTCTATTCGACACCTATTGACCTCGTCAAGCACTCTCTCAGTACCGCGTTCACTCTTGGCTTGGAGCCTGCCATACAATCGCCCGACCCACGGGGGGCCTTCAACACAAGGGAAATCACCATTCATGGCATACCCTTCTTACTGCAAAATACTTTGCATATCTCCTGTGACCTTGAAGGTCGTGGGTTGTTTTATTCTGCGACAAGAAACAACCTGTCTTCGACTGCGACACATCCCAGAGCATCCCAGAGGATGTAATCATCAAACTTTCATGGGAGCATGCAACGTTGGAAAACTCCGACATCCTCTATCGTCGGGCTGAGCGACACGGCGTGCATGGAGTAGCCCAGCTGTATTGCTCCCACCCTGGGACGCCTTTCAGAAGGTCCCAGAACTCCACTCAACAGAATACATTATCAAGATCGGGAGCTGCGAGTGCAAGTACTGGGACCGTCATGCATTCCACTTTACCGCACTCTCCCCATCAAAGACTTTGAATGTGCATTCTGTTTTTTAGTTGAAGGCACTCCTATAACCAGTGTTCTCATACACCCCCTAACTCAGCATCGATTGTAGTCCATCACCGACTCTATAAGGATGCAGGAATTCTTCACTGCAATAACAACGTGAGCAGTCTCATGGTGTTGAGGGACACACCCACTCGCGGGATCCTACTGGATCTTGATTTTGCAATCCAAGTCCGAGATGGAGACAAAGACGTCTCACCCGAGCCCTCTTTTGCTGCCATTTCTTTCCATGGATCTCCTATCTGCTGCGGGTTCCCTCCTAAGCGGCTTTACCGATATGACTTGGAATCGTTTTTCTATATGCCTGGTTGGATTCTCTGTCGATGTGACGCACACGGTGAACCTAAGGCCCTGCATTAGTTCACAGCTTGGCATAATGGCCCCCTCGATGACATCATTCCAGCCAAACGGAGGTTCACGGGAGTACCTAGCCACATCACATCAGACAGGTCCTCGCCTTCACTTCAGAGCTGGTTGCGCCGCTTGTGTAGGATGTTTGGCGGAGGATACAGGGAAGTGAACTGCCAGGACGCTCACGTTGACCAGGAAACTCGGGGGGGGGGGGGGGCATATGACGTTTGACACATTCATGGGTGTGGCTCCGCAGAGTACCCCCTGAACGAACAAACTATTGTTTATGAAGCGGTCTTTTGTACACAACATAGAAATTCGAGACTTCATGCCGCTCTCGAAATGCCATTCCTGTCACTGATATAGTAGTGCTCACATCTCGCAAGGAACTGAGCACCAGGCCTTGGATGCTTAAAGTTGGATGTCGCGCGACATTGTGAGCGAGAGCCCAAAGGAGCGTTGCCAGGTACGCAATCAAGTTAACTTGTTTCTATGCTATGCCGGCAGCGGACACGAAGCGGAATGATAGCCCAGAATCCCGAATGTGCGCCATTTTTGAGCTTTGACCACCCAAGTCCCGAATGTTCAAGAGCAATTCTTCATTCTTTGGCGCATATATTTCAGCTTCTACGAATCGACGCGATCGGGATATTAGATGTTGATTAAGAAAATTCCCCCAGTTTCACCGCTTCAAGGGGGGCAGATCCAGAGACGACACCAGTGGAATAACATATACCTTGTGTCGTTCTCGCGCAGGACGTTCGTTGGGTAGTGTGTGCGTGTGTGATTCATTTAAAACTCTGTATCCGTGCCTGTTGGCATATGACGGAGCGTATAGCGGGTTGGGTAGCTCTGGCAATCGCTTAGGTTGCGCATGAGCTTGATTCGAAGCAACGCAGGATAGATCGCAGCAAGCCCGATTCCAAGGCATTCGTGGGTGGAGACCCAGGGATAAATATGTTTGGATTCGGAAGCTCAAATGGGATCCCGAGCAATCATGGCGGTATGCTCCGCAAAGCGGAACATGAACCATTTCCAAACTTGGTACCAAACTTGCCCGGGCCTGTGTGAGCTCTCTAGATTTGTTCTGGTGGAACTTGCGCGCACATCAGATGTGGTGTTTTGTTTGTATGTGTTTATGGGAAGCTCAATGCGTTCTTGATTACCGCGAAATCCAAGCTGCTGGACTGGCGTTGGATGCCTCCCAGCATCTCGTTTTGCACCATGAGGACAGATCCATAGTAGGGATAGGTTCTACATGATAGTAATATCAACCACGCGTTTCAACAACGAAGCATCGAGATATCACATAGAATAAACCACTCAGCAAGAGACCTAGGGGCTTGGAGAGACACGTATCGATTCGTCCGAGTGATATCCCATTCTGATATCGCCAAGGAAGAGATTTCTCCCATCCCGGAAAGGCTGAAGTGCAGCATGCGGGAGGAGCCGCTTCCGTACATGTGTACATGTCCGCCTGGTTCGCTTTTCATCCCCTGCCGGTGCAATTGGATAGTCAGCCAAATACGATGTAAAGATCCGAATGTCCATACTCCCCTTCCTCTCACGTTCTTCAAAGAGCAGCAATCTGCTTCCAAATGGTAAGCTGCTAGTCGTCGGGTGTGGACTGCTTGGTCTCTTTGCAACTGTTAGGACCAAATACTCTAATCCTGGTCAAACGAAGCGGCCCAGTTACCGCTTCACAGCGAATCGTATGTTCGGAGATTCTCAGCGGGCATTACATTGGTACTCGGAACAGGACAGTAATTTTGCCTAGAATTCATTTGGACGGTAGTGATTCATCGCGGCTTAACCAAAGGCACAGGTTTATGTGCAAGCGACGGCTGCCTTCATGGAGTAGTTCCATACCCCCCATTCCACTTTTCGCGAACGTTTGGAGATTTTTCCTGGGCCAAGTTTGAAAGCGACACTCATTTCGGATAAGTTCTAGGATTGCACGTGTGGCGCAGCCCAGTTTCCAGACGGTTGAGGGTGCTCATTCGTCCCCTTTACGTTGTTTGTGAATCCTCTCATCCACTCAATGACACGCGCCATCCCCTGTACACTACACCGTGCCCAGACGCCGCGCCATGAGAATCGAATGTCACATTCTTTCGCTCCTTGAGGCCTCAATGTATCTGGTGGAACGAACAGCGTTGCGATCGACTGTACATATATTCTGTTGATTTTGTTGGTTTGTGTGCTTGCAGCGCAGTTATCCAAAGGAAATGCCTCCCTGCGGCGATGGATGGGTTGAAGAAGCCGCTGACGCCGTCGTTTTTTCCTTTTCTTTAGTTACTGACCTTCCAAGTGCGGCGAAAAATTCTCTATTATCCTTACCTAAAACGCTGTTGCCTCGACCACTTCGGATCGTCGGTGAAACTGCGGGAAGCGTGAGGATGAAACGAAGCACTCCCGCACTCCGTTACGTAGAGGGGGCTGCGGATTTACGCTCCACTCCTGAATACCCAGAAACAGGGATCCTTTAGTTTAACGACTTTTCTGATCCAGAATATCAGGCTCACCGATCCACTACATACATATATAGTTCCCTGAATGGCGATTTTGAAATGAGGCGGCATTTCAATTAAGTGATTTGGTCATAATCACATAGCGTTCGGCACCGAGGGCCAAACCAATCGCGAACGTCAAGTTCGACCGTTCACGATGCAACGAGGAAGCAGTGTGCAGACTTTTTCTCGTGAGGATGGGTCTCTGGCGTGTCCACCTCACTTGGCTCCTCATGGACCCCCACCCTCGATCCACGCGCTAACTGAGTTTTTCGACCTTTGTTCCCAGCCAACCCAGAAGTTGAAGCCTGATAAAAAACGCATGTACATGGGGCTCTGGTTTGATGTAAGTCCTTCCGTAGTTTTTCCCGCGAATTGATTGGTCGTTGAATCGTCTCGCCCTGCACAGCGCTGGAGGCAACAAGTTGGGCCCGATCTGTATCCAGTCCTTCGTCTGCTTTTGCCTCATGTGAGTATACGGATTAGGGAAATTTGGAACGAGTACTGAGGCACGGCTCGCAGAAAGACAGGGAAAGAGCCACATATGGCTACAAGGAGGTGACTTTGGCGAAAGCATTCATCCAGGCATTCGGAATGAGCGAGAAATCTAAGGATGCTCAGTCACTGATTAATTGGAAGAAACCGGACCCCGACCCGCATGCATACGTAAGTAGCTTTGTAATATAAAATTCACGCATCTCTCTTATCCAGTACCATTGTGCAGTCCAGGACCCAGGTGAAGGCGACAGGAGATTTTCCGAGCGTTCTGTATCAAACTATCGCCACACGATCTTCAGTCGTTACTGGAACAATGACGATAGGGGATCTTAATGACCTGCTGGATGAGCTTAGCCAGGGGTTCCGTCCAAGTGGTAAAGATGCCGAACGAAGGTCAGCTGCTCTCCGCGTTGTTGGGAATGTATTTCTGACACCCGCATAGACAACAGGTAGCAAGGATATTCAGCACATTTGCGGAGAAGTGTACTGCGAACGAGATTCGCTGGATAGTCCGAATCATACTCAAAGGTAAGGTCTCTTGAGCAGGCTTTCACCAATGGGTGGGCGATAGATTTACAGTCTGTTCCAGATTTAGGCATCGGCGTGAAAGAGACCACCGTGTTCTCTGTGTTCCACCCCGATGCAATCGATCTTTTCAGCACTTGCTCTGACCTGAAGAAAGTTTCCTGGGACCTCGCTGATCCCAACTACCGCCTGCATGAGGAGGTATGGCAATGACTATTCAACCGATATGAGCTATAGATGCTGATGGGCTTCGGTGTGCTTCGATACAGGAAAAGGCCGTTCGCCTTTTCAAGCCATTTCAGCCGATGCTTTGTGGCAGGACGAAGACTCTTCGGGACGCAGTAAAGCTAGTCACTATGAATGACGGTCCTGACGATTCAAATCCCAGCAACGAAGGAAGGAATACGAGGCCCAGCGCCGAGGGCTTCTTCATGGAAGAGAAATTGGATGGAGAAAGGTTGCAGCTCCACAAGCGTAGAAATGAATTCTTTTACTGTTCAAGGTAAATGATCTCCGTTGTCCTCAGATGTTTGTACTGTTCCCACAACCATTCATAGAAAAGGGAAAGATTACACATATCTATATGGCGGAAACAGAAGTGAAGGATCATTGACACCATTTATTGTTGATGCGTTTCATTCCAAAGTAAAGGAGTGAGTGTCAGTCGTTGCATGTAAGAAGCCTCGCCTCATCGTCGGCCGTTTGAAAACTCACAGTGTCATCCTCGATGGGGAGATGTTGGTATGGGATCCAAGCATCGAGAAGTACCTTCCGTTTGGCAAGCTTAAGACGTCGGCACTTGGTAAGAAATAATACGAAGTATATACACCTCAACCTGAGGCTTACGAATATTCAAGATAAATCAAATGATCCCGACAAGCCTCGACCATGTTGTACGTGTATGTTTGTTCCGTGCCGGCAGTCTTGACGCCTAGTTTCTTCAGTCAAGATTTTTGACCTTCTTTACATCAATCTCGAGGGGGCTCGCGCACCTACTTTATTAACCCGGAAGACGTTAAACGTCAGGTTGCAGACCCTTAAAAACCTTGGATTATTCAAGGAGGTACCCGGTCGTTTGGAATTTGTGACGCAACGAGTTGGCAAAACCGCTGAAGATGTGGAGAGCTTCTTGGAGGATATTGTAGAAGAAAGGTATGCTCGGAATATTGAAGCCAGCCATGTTCCTCACAGCTTATTTAGGGGTGAGGGACTCGTGCTCAAGCGAAGTCAATCTGCATACAGTCTAGGAGGTCGTGAAGGCAAATGGTGGGCGAAGGTAAGGCCGCTTTGTATCATTTATGCTCCATGTTTACTATCAGGGTTATACAGGTGAAGCCTGAATACATGGTAACTGTCGATATCAGTGCGTGTTTAGCCTATCCTGATAACGCGGTTCGATTCAGGACAACATGGGAGAAACCGTCGATGTCCTGGTTGTGGGTGGGTGGATACGTTTATTTATTTTCTAATTTCGTGCTCATCGTTCCCTTTTTCGGTGCCCAGCGGCCCACTGGGGGTCAGGTTCCTGAGGTGGACGCGTTTCGACGCTCATCTGCGCCGTTCGGGACGACTCCCTTCCCACGATACAAGGAAGTGATCCCCATGACGATGACGAGAAATCCTCAACGTGAGTAAGATTCCCACTGGATACCCTCTTTCCTCACTCACACGCAAACCATAACAAAATCATAATAGGGTATACAAAACGTTTGTTCGCATTGGATCGGGTCTCTCATTGGAAGATTATGAATGGATCAATATGAAACCCTGGAAGCCGTTTAATAAGTACAAGCCTCCGTATTGGCTACGTGTGTCGCCTGAGTCTGGGACTGAGGACAAAGGTGACGTGTTCCTGGAGCCCGAGGAGTAAGTTGTTTTCTTGTCAGTGGTATGTAGTTCCCTAACTCTCGTTTCGCTTCGTTAAAAGGTCGTTCATCATTACTGTCAAGGCGGCATCCATCAGTCCATCAGGTTCGTTTTACTTCAAAGGGGCTTTCCGGCATGTTAACTGTTAGGGAAATGCCGTTCGATGCGGAATTATAGACCAGTATGCCGCAGGAATGACGATGCGCTTTCCAAGATGTCAAAATATTCGACATAATTTTAGCTTGGAGAATTGCATGTCGATTTCAGGTAAGTTGCTATTTCCGGTTCTCACTTCTCGCCCTTCACTCGCCATCTCACGATGGTGACGGTAACTGTCCCCGTCGTTATCAGAGGTATTAGACCTGGCTTCTGGAAAGAGGAGACATTCGGAGGGTGATGATCAGTGAGACTATTTTTCAGGATATCAATCTTTGGATTGACGCGATGGGGATGACTTGCTTTCAGGCCCTTCTCGAAGAGAAGAAAAGGTGTGAAGAAGAAGGTGGGATTACGTTCATACGTTCATTGGGATGAAGAGGCTAATTCTCGGTCTTGATCGTGTGTTTGTTGGTGACAGGGCGGAATGGAATTTGGAGCTTCGCATAAAGGCCAGGATTTATCGGGTGTTGAATCGAGGAGTGAGTTATTTGAGGGGAGGAAATTCCGTACGTTGTTGCTTGGCAGTGTAATTAGATTTTCATGCTGCTCACCGATCTTTTTATGTAGATGTTATTATGGCTAGTGGGCCAAAGCAGAAGTACCCCAAGGCAGAAGTTGAACGAATGTGAGTTGTCGCTTCACCATAACAGAACGTTGTGTCACACTTCTGATGGTCTATACTAATACCTCTTGCCTCGTAGGATTAAAGAGCATGGGGGTAGCATTCATCAATCCTACAGTAAAGTCGAGGGTGTTACCATCATTTACGGTGGTACCGTTAAGAGCAAGTACCCATTTTCATCGTTTCAGTGTGGACCTTCTGACATGATTTTATCTCTGCGTGGTTTGTTGTACAGACGTTCCGGTACAGAGTATCATTAAAAACGACATACATGATATTATTAAGCCGGAGTGGATCGTGGATTGTATTGAGGGGAACAGCATCGTTGCGCTAGGGAGACAGTAAGTCGGTTTGCTAATTAATTCGATAAATGCGTGGAATAGCAGCGTTAATAGGTATTATTTTCATGTTACTGAGGAGACTCAGGTGAGCGCGGAGTATCGTGGTGGCGAAGTTGAAGGCGAGGTGCATGAAGATGTGGACGATGTGCCGTCAACTTCCAGGCGACCCATGGTTCCAGCTGGGGAATTAAACGAAGGGGCAAGTGAGCGGGGAAGTTCGGAAACGGAGGATGAGGGTGAGGATAAGGATGGAGTGTTGGTCGGTCCTGGCAATCTGGATTCAGATTCCTGGATACATGTCATTTCAGCCCAAATTGCTGAGAATGCGAAAGAGAAGGGCAATAATGATAAGGAGAAGGGGAAGAAGCTGAAGGGGACTGACGAGTTAGGATCGAGTATGGAAAAGTTTAGAGAGAGGGAGAGTGACACGGAGTCAGAAGGGGGACTCACGGAGGGGGAGGAGATTGACTTGGATGAGGTGAGGAGTGTGGGGAGTGAGGATGGGGATGATTTCGTAGTTGTTGAGGATCCAGATGAAGGGAGAGGCTCGAAGTCGGCGGGCGTGGTGAGTTTCCCGATTAGCCTTTTATTGGGTGCCTGGGAAACGAAGTTCTGATGATGGGCATTGTAGGACCAAATGGTTGTGGATGAGGTTAGTTGTTTTATGATTATCATTTTTTTTGCTCATCGTATCAATGACATGGTTTGTATTATTTATCAGAGAGGACATTACGATGGGTGAATCCGATGATGCCATGGAGTATGATACTGAGAAGATATTTAAACATTTGTGAGTCGTTGTGATCTCTCCGTGGCGGGCATGCTAATCATGGAGTATTGCGAACGATAGACATTTCTATATCGATACGCAAGAGAATGCTCGCTCTAACGGGCTCAGCGTCGAGGATTCTGGCGGATCAGACGATCAGGAGCTCATCAATTCAGAGTAAGCTTGTGAATTAATTACTAATCTCTAGAGTTGTTGTACGGTTGCAGAAGTAAACTGATGAGAACGTTTTAATAGATTAGAGGAAGTGGAGAGGAATATCGAGGAAAATGGAGGTCAAGTGACGAGCGAACTCAGTCATCCCAAGTTGACACATATCATTTTGCACAAGTGAGATCTGTGTCAGGGTCGCGTCCGGGGTCGAGGGGGTCCGGGCGTAGCGTCCGGTGCTGAGGACCTCATGGGGGGTGGATCGGGCGTGCGTACTGGCAGCCCCGATGTGGGACGGCGATCCCTGGCCACTTAGACTGAAGTGGGAATGTTGAGTTATTATTAAAAGGGGAACTATGCTACTTACCTGAAGTGGGAATGTTGAGAAGAAGGTTACTTCTTCGGTTCCCACCCCAGGTGTATTTATATACATGTGGCTTAGGTCACATGAGGTCCGCCACGTCACCCCACATACAGCCACAGTCACCTGGGTGTCCCCGTGGGGGATCCTGAGGGTGTATGCTGCACACGCGTGCACTAGGTTGCACCCTAGAGCCGTCCGGGGTCATCCGGGGCCAGGCATGTCACGTGCGCATCGCAGGCAGGTCAATAATACATGGATATAAGGAAAGGTCGTCCGTGTGAAGTAGAAATAGAAATAGAAATAGAAATGGAAATGGAAATAGGAGAGGGATAGAGGGGGATGTTGGAATATCAACGCTCATCGACAACAGCCAAGCTGCAGCGTGGATTGGGGAGTTTTTATTTTAACTTAATATCGTCGTGACTAACAATGACTATACCTTTTTGTTTCAGAGTCGCGGTACCACGCGCTCCCAATTTACTTTGTCTTATATCGCCAGTTGTCATTGACAATCGCTTTAAGCGATATTGGCTCCAGTCGTATAAGTTACGCGTGATAGGTAAACATCTTAATACTAGTTCTCTATTTCGAGACTGAGTTACGCGCGATAGCTCCTATTTCATTAGGGGAAGGGGTATGAAGGAGGGGTGCAGGGTGGGAGAAGGGGAACTGGGTGAGGTGGGCCCAGGTGGAGGCGGGTCAAGTGGGTGTGCCCTGACAATCTGAGCTGAAGGAGAGAGCTCGAGAGGAAGACAAGAGAGTGAGTCTAGTTTCCTTTGTGTGCAGGCAAATCATAAAGAAAGGATGGTTTATGCACTTTTAATGTAGACCAAAGTGGCGCAATCTTGTCGTTCACACGTGGATTGCATGCTGCCTTGATGATCAGTCATTGCTTAATGAGGCATTTTTTATGCCGTAAATAATAATTAGCTGCTCATTGGAGTTCACATGCTGCGTGTGTACTTGTGTGTAATAAAATATCTAAAGGAGTGACTCAGTCTCTACAGCGAGAACTGAGATAGATTATCCTAACCTAAAGGAGTGACTAACTACAATGTAAGATAGGAGCTAAATATGAAGTTGGATAAAAGGGACTGACCTCAGTCTCTACAGCGAGAACTGAGGAAAAAAGAAAAGAATTCAAAAATAAACGTGACTATACTATAACGGAAGTCACATGCAAATCATGCGACAATAGAGATCAGTTAATGCGTGGTGTTCCTCCAACAGTGTGAAATGTGCGATGATGATGATGATACTGTACTGGCATGACCAATAACCGGGTCACGTGGAGGCGTGGGAAAAAGTTTCGGAAAACCACCAACTGGCAACCCTGCGTTATGTGTTACACCTGACCGGATTCACACATGATACAGGTTGGTTTTTTGATTGTTTTTTTGACGAGATTGGGTCTTACCTTAGCTGTGGTGTAGCAGGGTTGGCCTAATTTATTCATCTTAGAAGGCATATTATACTGACACACATTTGGCAATTGTCAGGGCCCGGCCTCGGACTCGGAGGCTCCCTGACCTCAACCCCCATCTGGCCTGTCCTCACACTATGCGGGCATGAGATGTATAGTAAAAGAAAGGGAATATATACACTTGCCTATGCAGGGCATGAGATGAGAAGAAGGGTAAAGGTCTCATCTCCCTGCATGGTTGCTATATAAAGGAATGGGTCACATGCCCACAACTATACAGCTCCTAGAGTTGTGTAGTGTGACCCGGAGGGAACATCCAGGTGGCAGTGCCCAGTAAGCGTGGGAACGTTCTGGGCGAGTTGCTCGCCCAGAACTGTGGCTGTGACCCGTGGGAACATTCTGGGCGAGCTGCTTGCTCAGAAAGTTCCCACGCTATCCCGTGCGCGCGTGTACACAACACACAAAGGCAACAACAAGGCAACAGTCAAAGAATAAAAGGGGGTAAAGTAGGTGGGGAGTCTGGGGCACCCTAAGGCAGGGTGCTGAACCCTGACAGCAATGTGTTATGAAATTTACTGTAAATGACAAAAAATCTCAAGCATGTGTTCATGATGGCTTTGGAGTTGGCTGAATTTTGCTATTCACATTTTTGAATGTATATACAATACAAAAAAGGAAAATTGAATTACATCAGCACAGCCACCACAAAGTCCGTGAATCTGTGTTACGCTGGATGGCCGACTGGCTGCCTCGTGTTACGTGTTACCGGTTGTTGGTCATGCCAGTACAGTAAATCTCTCTTATTACCCCGTGGCCTTGTGATGATGTGGCAGTGCAGCTATCCTGTCTTGACACTTGCTTGACACTGTAGGGGATAATCTTTGAAACATTTAATGAAATAGGAGCTATCACGTGTAACTCAGTCTCATAATGGAGAACCAGTATTAAGATATTTTTACCTATTGCACATAACTATAACATGAAAATACAATGAGTTATGCGCAAACACAGATAGGAAAGAAATGGTATCACCTCAGTTTCGTAATAGAGAATTGAGGGAGGGAGAAAAATTACGGTGTCCAGCATTGTTAGAATGGGGCGGATACAGACAACTCCGGAGTGGAATCAGAGACTTAGCATGGAGGGACCTTGGCCTCAGCGACTCAAGCGGAGCGCTGTGCCATTGCTGTTTGTCCATTTGGTCCTTAATTTCACAGTAGGCGAGCAGGAAGTCTCTAAGGGGCAAAAGCACAAGGAAACAAAGGGGATCCGAATCGGAACGAAGATGTCTGAACGGGAACAAAGGGTAGACAGAAGCGGAGCGGTACCGAAGGTCATAAGGCAGGACCTGTGATATGTCCGAAAGGAGGTAGGGAGGGCGAGGCCCAGAGGGGCAGGAGGATGAGGAGAAGTGGGGATGATGACTAACTGGCTAGAATGGGAAGAAGCAGCAGTCCAAATAGGGATGAGGGGAAAACGCAAGAGATACATTTACAAACGGCGAAAGTGCCGAAGGCGATCCGCAAAGCTCGGAGGTTGCAGAGCTTACGGAGGTTACGGAGGTGGGGTTGAAAGTCCGAGGAATATTGGCAATGGTGTTTACATAGTATGAGGTCACCAATGCAATGGACTAAGACCGAGGTGGAGTCAAAGTCTGAGGTAGGGACTATGACGGAGGCTCGGAGCAAAGGTACGAGCGGTGCCTGAGTACGAAGTACGGGACAGCGGTGGAAGGTCGTAACTTGGCGGGAGGTCGGCAGAAGAGTACCAGAGGGAGGAGAGAGGAGAAAGGGAAGAGAGAAGGAGTGGCGGAAAGGAGCGTTGTCAGGTCCGAAGGTGAGTATCGGAGCGGACGGGGGAAGTGTAGGAGGGTGACGGAAGGGTGGGGGTGTTGTGAAGGAGGAGCGGAGGAGTAGGAGGAGGGTGGCGAGAGGAGCGGCGTTCGGTCCGAGGTGAGTATCAGAACGGACGGAGATAGGGAGGAGAGGGAAGGAGGAGTAGAGGTGGCATGGGAGGTAGAAGGAGGTGTGTTGCCAGGACCGAAGGTGAGTATCGGAACGGACAGCAGTAGGATAAGACTCCGGAGGTGAAGAGGGTGGAGGTCTGGAAGTCGGGTCAGGGTCGGGTATGCACGGATATGACAAGCATAACTTATATGACTGGAGCCAATAGTGACAACTGGCAATATAAGACAAAGAAAATTGGGAGTGCATGGTATTGTGACTGTTGGAAATGGGGCTCAGTGGTGAAACTCGGTCGGGATGGCTGTCGGCTCTACGGATCTATATTCGGTGTAAATAGGAGTAAATACATGCTATGCGCTTGCTCTCCAACAGTGACTCTGAAACAAAAGGTATAGTTGTTGTTAGTCACAACGATATTAAGTTAAAATAAAGACTCCCCAATCCACGCTGCAGCTCAGCTGTTGTTGATGAGCGTTGATATTCCAACAACATTGTGGTATGATGTCTGGTTGGTATCTTCAGGTGTCAGCGATCCTTGGGTTCTGTGATGTCTGTGGGTATTGTCATAGGATTGGTATGATAAAGAAAAGAAAAGGAAATATAAAATAGTGCTCTGTCCTTCTGCTCCTCACTTCTGCTCTACTCCTGCTGCTCTGTGGTTGTTCAGGACATCTGTCGTTCAGGGGTGGGTCTTGTGGGTTGACCAGTTGTGTCTTGTGTTGGAATATGTCATATCCCGGAATCCCGACCCCGCACACTCCCACCACATCACACCTTCCTAACAACTTCACCATCCCCTACACCATGCCTCCCCACTCTCCAAATCACCTTCCCTCCTGGCTGTCTCAGCTCCGTTCGGGTTGCGGCACACCGAACCTTGGCTACTCCCATCCCGGAACCTCGGTCCCAAGTCGGAACATTCGGAGACCCCGGATTTGCTCTGATATCCTGACGGACCTCCGACATCCCGTGACATGCCCTTAAACCATTCCCTCGCCCACTTCATTTATTGGAGTCACCCAACATCCTTCGGACACGCAACTCCGCTTTCGGAGCTAACCGTATCCTTCGGTGATCTCCTTCACGCTATCACTTATTAGTCATCTTCCATTCTTAGCACGACTACCTTCTTACTACCATTCAGTCGGCTAACCCCCCTTCCCCATTTGTCTTCCCCATTCATTTTCCGGCCTCCAACTCCGCCCTCCTTGGCCTGACACCTCGGTTCCCCGTTTTAGATATCGTTCGGAACCTTTTGGTACCTTTCGGTATCAATCGGTACCTTTCGGTGTTTTCCCCGTTTTGTCATTTCGGGCTTTGACTAAAGTCCTCCCCATCCACTTTTATAAATACACGTAGATTAGAACCTGTAGTTCCTCAGTTCTAATCTCGACTAAAATGCCACCCAAAGTCCCTCTGAGTGATTCCTGTCTCTGTTCTACAAGACACCTCAGACATAAGAAATACAAGGACTAACAGAGACGCAACGGAGGCACAGCGCTCCCTCCGAGTCGCTGAGGCCGCGTCCTTCTTAGAGCCTCTTGTACCATCCAGCAGAACCGGGCTCCCTGAGAAGCTTCGGTTCATCACCGGAGCCCTCGGACCCCCCTCTAGTTGAGCCCCCGCCTGCATTCGGACTCACGCATTCACCCCTTCTTCCATAACTGACGGGTTTTTGACAGAATATCAGCAATCGGTTCTGACAATGGAGTGGCAAGGACAGGGTTGATTGTTGGTGGCAGAAGTGAGGTTTGGGGGTTGAACTTTACACCCCCATTTTTCTTCTTTATGTGATGGGCTCACCACTGGCATAGTTCGCATATAAGAAGGGAGTTTTTTGGACTCCC